TTTTTTTTACATAAGAGCACCAATCTTCAGACATCCCCTGACATCTTAAAATACGTTTTAGATTTAAAGATTTATGCATTTTACATGTGGTTAAGTCTACTGAAAGTTCTGTGGATTTTAGACTTAATAAATATATTATCATTACCATATAGTTCTTTAATTAAAAGAACTTATCTGACAGGTAACACATACGCCCCAATTCTCCAAGCTATACTTAATCGGGATATAATAAGTTATATATTTGTTTTTGGAAATGCTTACTTAGATAAGCTTGAGGACTGCAGTAAGTACTTTTGGAAAGATGTTATGATCTCCTGGATTAATATATCATCATTATCATATTACTTTAATTAGAAGAACTTATCTGACAGGTAACACATACGCCCCACTTCTCCAATCTATATTTAATCGATATATAAGTAATATATTTGTTTTTGGAAATGCTTACTGAGATAAGCTTGATGACTGCAGTAAGTACTTTTGGAAAGATGTTATGACACGCACGCTAACAAGATAGAAAAATCATTGGATCCTATATGATACAATGACAAATTTAAAATTGGAGGAAATCTTTATAAAGAAATGGAATATGAAAGGCGTTGGGTTTCTGGAGACATTGTTGATTAAACTAGAATTCTAACAAAGGAAGGGTTTGAGCATAAATTTAGCCTACAAAATTGCTGTGGGCACTGATTTTATGGTTTACGCTATTCTATTAAGCACAGGCTCATAAACAAACCACAAATTGATGTTCTGGTGGTAACCCCCTTCCCGTTTTTTCCTCAGTCAGTAGAACTACTTATTTAATGCAGTAAGGGATGAACGACTATTATCAAATTCTTTACAAACTAACTACACGAATCTACCAATTTTATTGCCCTATGCACGAAAGTTAACATTTATAAAGGTTTCCAAAGGTTTCTATCCTTCCTACACCTTCTTAGAGAACTATTTAGTATATAAAGATAAATTGCACTAAAAAATCAAAATTTCACATATTATAAATAATATAGGGAAATTGGCCATTCAGTATTTATTTTCTTCCGCAATAAAGTGTATTATCTCCGTTGTTTCAGCGAACCCGTCGTTGAAGCTGTTGCTTTTTTGCAGTGGATATGTTTTGGAGCTTTCTTCAATCTCATAATAAGTCAGCATTTTGATGAGAAATCGCATATTTGGTATCCCACTGTTTCAAAAATACCTTGAACAGCAGGTCGAGGTTTGATCCTAAGCCAACTGATTTCAGCGAGTTCCATATATGTAGGAATCTAAACGTCTAAGGTCAACTCAAGTTTTGGGGTATCTTCTGACCTTCTCGCACTGTACTTTAACAGGGCACGTAGATCCAAACACAATACCTCTGTCATATTCCTCCAAACCTTTATAGATGGTTCAATATTGACATATGGATCCACATTTTACTTTCCCATAACCAACATAATTTGACACATAACATCTAGACCAAAAAATGGGAAATCGTAGGGTTTTTCCAAGAAAATAAAAAATAGGAATATTTCCAAAAAACAGGAACTTGACGTCCTGATTTAATCTAAAACAACAAAGGAAATGGTGAAATAAATGTTTATTTCTTTCAATATGGGAGATGGAAAACAATTACTGTAATTGTTAAAAATGTTGCAAATCCTGCTTTAGCAGACATCCTAGTGTAAATTGATAAATAGGTATGAAGTATCATTTTTTAATAAATCTGATAAGAGCAACGGGCCAGTGTCAGCAAAGGCAGGCATTGCTATATATGGATATTGTAACAATACTGGTCTTGTTACATTCTCATGCGTTAGTCCCAGGGATACTTATTGCTACCTTCGTGCAACTTCCTTATAGGGAAGATGTCAACTGTATAGATCCCACTAATCAAATTCTCATGAAAGAAAGGACTGCTACGTCCAAATGAAACAGCTAGGCAGCAAAGCTGTCAAATGTACAGACATAAAGCAAAAATAATGATGACAGTACACAAAAAGGGCTTTTGGCAATGTTGATGCATTGTTACACAATCACCACAAATTTTAATTATGTACTTCTAGTAACATGATGGATATTCAGAAAATTTGACTGACATCAAACTTCAGGCCCATGGATGTTCAAGGCCACATTTTAAAAGTGCTAAAAAAATTATGTGTAAAACAAAAATTTTGCATGACTTAAAGCATCCAATCAGGCTTGTTTTCAAGTCATGCTGTACTTTAGTCCTAAGAATCATTTTTGTAAGTTTCAGAATGAGAAGTGTTTAGAGAGAAAAGTGCACAATGATGTTCATAGCAGGCATAGATGGCTATAGTTACAGACACACTGTGTCTGTACATTAAAAAAATGTCCCATATTTCTCTCGGTCTAATTTCTTTTTTGTTCGCTGTGGTCTCTTGTCCATCTTCAAACTTTTACAATTTGAAGTTTTCAGTTCAACTTACTGGATGTTCAATGAGAAGAATCTAGTTCTCTTCATAATTGACAGAAAGATTATTTATATATATTGGCATTTAAAGTAGAGACTGTACCAACTGCTAAACAGTTCAATCCACGCACATAAACCAGTCTTCCCCATTGGTACACTGGAGAAATTGAACCAAGAAGCCAGTTCTAATTCCTAAAGAAAAATGTTTCTTCTTCTCACGCTCTCCCATCATTCCACAATGAAGTAAAAACGTTTGTTAAAATTTCCCAAGCAATGATCATCACATTTTATTCTGTGTCAGTATCCATTTATGTTTATTTAAGCATATCTGTTGCAAGATGATCTTTAGATCTCAGACTTGACAGAAAAAAAGGACATTAACACTAAGACAAAGAGAAGAAGAATAGGCTACTGCATGTCTCTTCTCACATAGCATACTTTTTAGTCCACTCCTTTGCTAACTCATTGTACTTTGATTTGTCAGTCTTGAAGATTCTTGCTATTTCTGGTACAAGGGGATCATCTGGGTTAGGATCTGTGAGAAGTGAACAAATGGACAGCAACACTGAAATGAAGCAAACCAACAAAGTAGTAAGCACTGGTCCAGTGAATATACATTTATGGCCTTATAGGCAGTACTGCCTCCATTTGCAATAAAGAAAGCTAAGGTATGTAGTTACTCATAGATGAAAGTTGTAAAAACCTGAAAATCCTGAAAATGTAGCTTGCAATTTATCATAGCATTTAGACCATATGTAAAAACGATCAAAATGTAGACTGAAAATTCTGAAACTGGCATAATCCTGAAAACTTTCACCCATGACTTACTTGGTTTGAATATTATTTTCAGTGTAATGTGTTTGAAAGATACAAAATGTCAGGATTATCAATGAATGTACTCTCATCTTGGGAGCTCCACCCCCGCGATGAACCATGACATTGACCTTTTGTTTTAGGGGTTCTTGGCATTTTGAATACTTATTGCTGAATGGAGCAATGTCAACCAATGAGAATGCTCAAATGAAATTGAGCAAAGGTAGATGTTCAAAGTTAAATGGCTGTGGCCATATGCAAACTGAATTCCAAAATTTGATATTTATTAAGATTTATGATAAAATCTCCATTATTTTGCTTTATTGTACAACTTGTTCAATTGGGCAACCATTCACTTGAGTGGACTTGCCTGAATTCGATGTGTAATTGCCACAGCCAATTGGCCATACTCACTGTCCAGTCTTGTGCATGTATAGAATTTAAATCTAAAACATTCTACACATTATGACATATGACTGCAAGATTCTTTATTATGAAAAAGAAAGCACAGCTGTTAAATGGACAGACACATCGATGAAAAAATTAACAGAAATAGTGGCATTTTGGCCCTTTGCCTTATTTCTTTATACTCACCTTTTGATATTGTTAATGCTGGTGACCATTGTGATCGCAGTATGTCTAAACAGATGCTACCATTACTGTTTATGTTGGGGTGATATATTCTTGTTGTAAAAGCAACCTGCAATTGAAAATAAAATAATATCTAAGAAAAATAAAACTTAAGAGACCATCGGTTAAGTATGATTGGCAAAAAAACTGTCCTGAGAAGACAGAAGGCCAGCACTTCGGTTGGCACAGTTGATTGCTGACAATGTTTTTAGGACTGGAGACATTAGCCAGGCTTACATCTTACTAACTGATACCTTGCATAACTTATTTTTACTTGGCCTTAGCAAGTCTTGTCTGGAACTAGGAGCTCCCTTTGTAGATATGAAGTCTTACCTTTGGTGGTTTGAATGGATAATCTGTAGGAAAGTGAATACTTAAGAAGAAAACCCCTCCTGAATATGGACTATCTGGCTGAAATATGATCACAAAAGGCATTTAGATATGTAGACAATTTATGAACATTGTAAGTTAATTAAATAGATAGGTAATGATAAGAACTGGCTTGTATAGAAACAAGGGAAATGCTGACAAGACTAACGTATACATATATTACAGAACTTCTTCTCATTAAGATATACTTACAGGTCCCATAATAGTTGCCTGCCAGTGAAATACTGAAAAGAACAAATTAAACCACATGAGTAAAAGTCTCCTTACAACATTGTTCTGTTTGTCCTAGTGACAACATGAGTAGCAGCTGTAACAGACTTATTTCATGACTGGTGCTTTTATCAATAGCACCATTGCACTCGCATTTACCTCAGAATTCACTGAATGGCATTAAAGGCAAACAAGGCAGGTAAGACCTTTATATAGCAAAAAAATTAAGCGTACCAATTTGTAAGTTGGCTCAACGACAATGATCTAATAATACATCACGCTTCTATATCATTTTATTTTCTTGTGAATGACAAGTTTCCTGTGTTTACTTGCATCCAGAGACATTTTCTCTCGTGTATTGTGCCATATTGTACATTTCAGTATGATATGAGGTTACCCTAATACTAGTGAAAGGTGCACGGGCAGCAAATGATCAACAATGAAGAAAAAAATAGTGCTAATACTTTTTCTTTTTCTTGCTCAACTACTTACAGTCATCCCCCACTGGTCCTGCAGAGCACTGTGCTGGTGGATCACGTCCCAAATCTTGTAATTCCTGTAGTATAAAAAAAGCACCACATATTTATGTATAAATATACAGTACTGTCTGAAAATAAATCACTCAACTATCAGAGGAAGTTCAAGGTCTAACTGCTATTCAAAAAACTGAAGTTAGAAACTGAACTATTCTGAGTAAAACAGAAGTATAACACTTGAAATATAACTAATTGTACAATATGAAAACATTGGGAAATGAAACAAAAGAGTATATACATGTATAACACGCACACTTTCTGAAAGGTAATAACTTTAAAACACTTAAAAGATTGGTATGGTCTGATTACAAATATTCTGAGATTACTGTTTGATAACAGATGAGTAATTTTTCATGATTTTGTCGAAACTTGCTTGGCCAAAAAGGAAACTGACAAGTGCACGAGACATGGGACATTCACCCTTATATCCTTCAAATAAAGTGATTCTATTTAAAACGTGATAAAAAAAAATCATCCTTCTGTTACACATGCTCGTGCTTATGTTGATTGAAAAATGGGCTTTCATCGATAGCGCCAGTGGCTCAGTAGAAGGTTAAAACTTGTCAGTATAGTCCACTGAAGTAAAATGCATAATGCAGATTAAAATACCACCCATCATGTTAACTCATCAAATTCAGACATACAACATTAAGACAACATTTAGACATACATATTTGTCAACCAAGATAACTAATTTACCTTATTGATTCGTTTTAAAGCCATATTTTATATCTTTTTGACAAAATAGCGGTGAAAGCTCAACTGTCGTTAAATTTGTTTTCTGGAAAGTACCCTCAACTTTATCAATATGGCGGAGGTGTTGGGAAGGTGGCAATTATATTAATACGCTCTGTGTTAAAACAAATATTAAAGATATAAAAACAAACTTATAGCACATCATTTTCATCTTAAACGTGCTAAAAGTAGTATGATTTATGTCTGGCGTTCGATTAAATCGTTTTATTTTCAAAATCAAATCAAAATAGGATCTATTTCTAATAGCGCAGGTAGTAAAAAAAAGGTATTTTCGAGGTAAATTTACTGAAAGTCACACAGGTTATTATCTATTAATATATACGTGTGTGTGTGTGTGTGTGTGTGTGTGTGTGTGTGTGTAAGCGAGTGAGTGATAGAGAGAGGGAGAGCTAGACAGAGAGGCAGAGTGAGGGAGAGAGATGGGTATTTGCAACAGGTGTATTCAACAGCATAGAGAATTAATTATATTTCAGTAAAATAAGTTTCGGTAAAAGCTTGTGTTTATATAAGTGTTCAATATATCTGACTTATAAACCCTCTTTTATTCATTTAACTGCTTCATGATGTATATATGAAGAACGTTGCAAACTAGAAAACATCACAGACAAAACGTTTAAATCTTCTCTATCAGTGTTCTGTTTTTCTCTTGACCTATATGAACAACAATATCGTTTATTCGTTGCTTTGTTTTATGATATTGCATACTTGATATATCGTTACCCACGCAGTGCTTTGCAAGACACCACCCCCTTCCCCTTTTTCACTTATATATTAGACACCCGAGACCTGTATTACTGTACGTCATTCAGCGGGGAAATTCCCAAAATCTGGCATGACAACATGGATTGGATGTCATTTACACATTTTTTCTATTGTGAAAATTCTGATTTAACCATCACACATAGTTTAATGATGATAAATGGTACAAATGATACCAAATGGTCAGAAGAACTTTTTTTTAATTTGCCAGGGTTTGTCTCATGCACCGGTAGAGGTGTTCCACTCTGCAATCTCGATCCGGTTATTTACCCCGTCAACGAGGCTTATTGGATGTTTGCTCCTCGATGGCTTTTTACAAATATTTCTTTTTGATTGCGTATTTAAGAGGTATGAACAATTGAATACTTTAGAATTATGGCGTAACCGCGTTGAACTTGACAAATGCTTTCAAGACTGATGATTCATTGCAATGTGTAAAATAAATCGCTGTACAGATTTGTTCGAACTGTACGGGCGGATCTGTGCTGCACCCTGAGCTTCAGAGATAACTTGAAACTTACCTCTACACTATACCCTTGCCGTTTCAAATTGATTCAAAAAGTTTAAAGTTGGTTTAAGAATTAATTTCATTTCTCTTCAGTTTTAGTCAGTTCTCACCCTGTAGATTCTGCAGCCTGGGGGAAGAAAACATCCAGGGTCCTTAAGGAAGTGGAAAACTACCAAGGTGCTTGCTTGATAATATGTCATAAAGATATGTCATTACTATCAAATTGCCATGTTGGAATTAGCATAAAGAATGATGTAGCAGGTTGTCTTGACAGTTGTTATATTTTGGCTATATGGAATATAACTTTCACTTTATACACCTAGTGGTTTTGAACTCTGTGAAACAACTGAACTATGTTATTAATTAGATAAACACTAGTATTTAGGCGTAAAATTGCAGATAACTGGGAACAATTACAGCGGGGACTGCTATTGTTCATGAAGTGATTTGAAAAAAGGGCTTTAATTTAAATGAGTGAAGAAGATATGGTCAACATTGGGCAACAAAAAAGTAAACCAATTTGCCATCTCAAATGCCTTTCTAATTTATGAATATCAGTGCTTTATTTTTAGCAGTTCTATGTTATTTGGAATATCTAAGTCATGTAATCAGCTACAAAACTACTTAATCCATTCACACATATACTAGTATTGTCTGTTCTCCCTAGCTAACAACATCCTATTGAATCTTACTGATAAAACATAACATTTTCACTTTTTTTTACAGATGTTGCTCAACAGATAATTGATTTCACTGTCAATGGCAAAGGAAAAGGACAGACCTACAACAGACTTGCTACTTTTACAGATAAATTTGGAAGTCGGATTGCAGGATCCCAGAATTTAGAAAATGCTATAGGTATAATTTTTTTTCATACAACACTAAAAGTATTCAGAAGTTTTTGTTAAAATTTCACTCTATATTTGTGCAAATTCTGATTGCCTATGACACAATAGGTGTCATGAAAAATAAATAAGAAATAAGAAATGTGAAGAAATGACCACTTGAAAGCTTGCCTCAGTTATATTGCCCCTGCAGGGAGGGCCTGTGTGGGAGGTGGGAAATCTATTGGGGGATTATGTGGCATGCTTTCAAGTGTGCACCATATTTGATCCGTGGCTCAGTTTGTCTGCAGATCAACTGGGTTTTGATCAGAGCCATATATTATCCTTGCAATTGCAGACTACATGCTACAGCAGTTAAAGAAGGATGGTCTGCAGAATGTTCACGGAGAAGATGTCATGGTGAGATTGATACTTGTATTAGAACATAAGCAGCCTGTGAAATAGGAGTTCATTGGATCCGCCCCAGGAGTTCATTGTAACCAGGGGCGGATCCAGAGATATTTTCTGACAGTTTTCCAAATGATCTTTGTTGGACCATCCTCCATTTTTAACGTTCTTCTGACAGAAAAAAATGAGATACTCGTCAATGTAAACTTGGAAATCTGACCGTCTTCTGGAAGACACAGAAGACGGCCTCAGTCTGCCCCTGGTAACAATATAGTCCATATAAAGTGTGACAAGCTTTGAAGCATGTGTAGTCATTAAACACATATGTCATTATCTACTTATGCACTGAAATGTTAGTAGTTCTGTTTAAACCAGTGTAGTGTATAGTTTTAGTATTGTAACAAATCAATATGAATGGGCAAAGATATTAAAAGGTTATAAAATTTAGTCACCAATGAACAATATGAGGTAATAATAGATACATTGCTCATGAATGCTGTTGTTATTTATGGTTACATGTACCAGTTTTCAATTTTTTTTATCGGTGCCACATTGGGTGAGAGGGAATGAGTCTGCCACTATGCTCCTCCCAAGAGTACACAAAATGGCAATGTTGGGATTAGGCTCGTCTGTTGGTACTCCCTCTGGTGGAATACAAGCTGAAGTTTTAGTTGTGAAATCATTTGATGAACTCAAGAAGAGAGCTGATGAGGTAAAGTTTTTTGTTGTCAAATAGATATAAAAAGAAAATGCACAATATTGGGTACATGATAGTTTAGCTGGCAACCTTGTACTGAATTTGAAATAATGAGCAAATCAGAAATTAAAAAAAAAAAGTAAACTGAAAGCAAAATTAGGAGATCATGTCGACCTTTTAACATGTTGGTAAAAACATTATACATAGTCATACTAATATAAATAGATGTATATATCTGTGTGTGTGTGTGTGTGTGTGTGTGTGTGTGTGTGTGTGTGTGTGTGTGTGTGTGTGTGTGTTACTATGGTGCTGATATTCGTGTTATTATAGGCAAAGGGCAAGATAATAGTGTACAACCAGCAGTGGGTAGACTATGGTACATCAGTTGCTTACAGAGACTTTGGGGCTGATAATGCAGCTAAAGTTGGAGGTGTAGCAGCACTGATAAGATCTGTTGCTCCTTTTTCTATCAACAGCCCACACACTGGCTGGCAGGTGAGTGTGCATGGCCACACCTGGTGTTTTAAGTATCACACACACACACACACCTACACACATACGCACTTATTGATAAAGATACTTGGTAGTTGTTGTGTGGTTACTATACCCATTACTTGTACAAGTGATTCTTCTTGGCATCTCCATGTTTTTAACAAACTAATTGTTTTTTCTGATCTTTTTTGTTATGGGATGGTGAAAACAGATGCATCCAACTTCATCCCTGTATAAATATTACAGTTAGTGAGTATGTGTTGTAACGTCCATATGAAGAATGGAATTACACTGTTACGTCTCAGATTTTGATAATGTACAGCAGGCATTAAAAATAGATCAGCCATACCTGAACCTTACCCTTAATTGAAAATCAGGGAAATGCATTTACATGTACTGGATACAAATGCTTTTACACAATAATTGTGAGTATAGATTGCTGTCAACTTTCCATTGCTTCAGGACTATAGTAACACAACTAAACGAATACCAACTGCATGTATAACTATAGAGGATGCAGAGATGATGAACAGGATGGCAGACAGAGGTAAGTGTGGTAGGTGTGTACAGACATTGAAATGTGTTAGAATGCAAGTAGTGATAACTGAGGACAGTGTGATACATGTAGGTGTAAGGTATGTGGCATGAGTTTGGAAGACGTGACTTAGTGGGAGTGGTGTGGTAGAAGTGGCATGAGAGACGGTCCCATTGGGAGATAGTGATCACAGGGATTCTTGGCTAAATTCTTAATTGCAGTCAATATAATTAGTTTAATTGTCTGGCATGCCCCCTTGCAAAGAAACATGAAGACCATCATGGACCACAAAGTTTTCCTGGCTTTACCCAAGTAGTTTTAGGGGACCTACCAGACAATTAAGCAAATTACATTGATGTGTCTTAGCGAGAATCCTTGCTGGGATAGATCAATCCTGCTAGTATGATAACTTCTATTCTGGACACAGCCATAGTATGGTTTAACACATTTTTAAAACATATTTTTTCTTGCTTAGGCACAAAAATTGTTGTTCATTTGCAAATGGATGCTAAGAATCTTACCCCTGTGAAGTCAAGAAATACTGTGGCAGAAATTGTAGGATCAAAATACCCAGAACAGGTTTGCACTATAATATGATAATACATATACCATCTTTTTTCTGACAATAGTAAGAAAAATCGAAGGAATAGTCATCATTTCCTTGAGTACTTAACAATACTTTTGTATTTTGAAAACATTCCTATTTTCGAAAGGAACCATAAAAATGAATAAGACTAATGGTGATGATAATTATTATACTGATAACAGTGTCACTGTTGATATTAAATATTAAAAATCCATTCATTGTTCAATAGATGTACAGTTAGTTGAAATACAA